TTTCGAATTGGAATTTAAAAATATCGATTGCTATTTGAAAAGATCAATGTTCATAAACTTAAATATTTCATGTCCAAAAGCTTATGTTAAAATTGTAAGAAGGGATAATTTGTGTGCCCACAAAACACGAACATTCAGGATATCAATATTAATTATTCACTGAATTCAGTTTTGTTTTATGGAAGGCGAAAAAAAATGAATACTCATTTTTACTCTGAAAAAATGTTTTACTCTATTATTCGAATAACATTTCCATAATGCGCACCAGATGGTGAATGCTCATAATATACAGGGTGATTTACTAAGAGTGGTTAAGCATTTTAACATCAACGTTTATTTAAATTAGTACTTCGTCTATTTATAGAATTTTCAAATGAGCTCTCATTAGAACCTCCATAATGTGGATATCCTCGTTTTTGAAATATATTTTTATAGGCTGTTGAAATAATACTACATTGCAACAAAAACATATTTACTATTTAAATCTTAATAACTTAGGAATAAATATCGCAGCACCCTAAATATAAACGTAAATAGTTTTACATATTTCGTTCAGCCCAATTAACTTCGTTTTTATGTATCAAAGGAATCTAGACGCAATAATAAAACAGTAAGTCTCAAAAATCTATGCTGATTGGTACGAAGGTAACCAAAATATATGATTTATTGTATAGTTTAAAAAAAAAAAGATTCCTTCATTAGCTAGTAAAATTCAACGAAAAATGTCTGTTTTAAAATAATTGAATTATCTAATATATTTAAATTTATTTATAATGTGTAGGTGATTTTTCACTCTTTTTTCATCCCTTAAATAATTATTCAAGCTACGCAGAATTTTTCAGACTTAACGAATGCAAAAAAAAAAAAAAAAAAAACTAAATCATCAATTGTTCGGATTGTTTACCGAGCAACCGGAGCAATTAGGTTTAATAAATTATTATTTGAGACGTCTTGTATTATTATATGCATACAAAACTATTTTTTACCTATAAAATCTTAGTGGTCTGCAAAACAGTTCCAGTCAAACAAACATCAAGTTCGTCATAAACACCGAAGAGGTGCTGACGTTTCGTAAAATGTTCTCCAATTTCCGATACCGAATAAAAAAATTTCAAATAATTATGATAATATTTATCGTGAACTGATATGGCATTGAAGCTTATTATGTTGAAATTGAAGTTGTTTAATAAGCTTTTTCTCAATAATCGAGAATTTCAATATTATAAAAATGATGAATCGTTAACACTATGAGTTTAGATAATAATTCATTGTTATTGTACCACGTTTATCGAAATCGAAGAGAAGCTATTCATAATTTTTTTTCCTAAACATAACAATTGACGGAACATGATATTATTATTATGTATCACATGATCGAAGATATTTCGACATTTAACTCGAGTAATGTCGCTACAAGCATTACAATTATTATTATTATCATTATATCATCATACAGAAAGCAATAGCCATTATCTACCATTAACAACCGTAGTTTTTGTTTGATATGCGCTTGACTGATTCGAGCCTGACTAATGTACATAGACTCTATATAGAGCGTAACCTAAACATGGTGTGAAAATACGTGTCTCTCTATAAAGCTTATGACTTACCCATATTTTTATGTAGCTCTGTGTTAAATTCTTCCCGCATCCACGCTCCTGATGATATCACAACGTAGCAGTATAGGTTTATTGAAATCTCGAAAACCGCGTAAACATAAGTTCAATGAGAATTTGATGATCTTATCGTAAAATAAATAATATAATTGAATCAACAAAAATATGAAATTGTTATCAAAACCAAGTAATGCGTGTTTTAATAATGAGTGACAAAATAATTCGATTTTAAATTTGCAATTTTACATTAAACGCGTAGTATTTCTGTTGACATAATATAATTTGTTATACTAAAACGTAGTATATACTACGCAATAAAATTATAATTATTTTGATTAAAACCTTTGACGTAGTTGTTCGCAATATAGACAATAATGTTATCAAATCAAATTAACATTGTTTGTTTACACACTTAACAAACTTTAAAACAACATATTTTAATAAACTCGTTTATTCTCAAAAATAATAATATTTTTAGAAACGTGGTAATACTAAAAATAATGTCCTCATGAAATCAAAACGTATGTAATTTAATAATACAACGGAATGTGTATTAATATAAAACTACGCGGGAGTGTAACGAATTTACATAAGCAATACGCCGTGTAATAATATTCTATTATTATCTATTGTTATAGTTTTAAATTGGGAATTCGCAAATATTAATTTATGGTCAAATTCATTTTTATTTAAACTGTAAATTATTAATTAAGATGATTCGTAAAAGAAATCAAAATTGTTATAATTCAGGTATGATTCAAATATCGTTTTATACGAAATATTCTGCTAGACTTCGGCTCTTAAGACGATGCCCCTAAATACAAAATCTGCTATCTAAGCAGCTTATCCGTTTCCGGTTCCACTTACTTAACAATATCTCTCCATACCCCTTAATCCTGACCTTTCCAAAGGCTCCTCCTCTATATAGAGGAGACATATATGTATATCTATATATATATATCTTAGAGAGAGATTCTCGAGTACAAATTCAAATTTTCACACAATTTGCACGATTAATTATTTATGTAAGACAATCATTACTTTTATTATTAATTATTTTTTTCACTAGAATAAATGATTAACTTAATAATTAATTTAAATGGGAGAAAAACCAAGCCATATTTGTACATAAAAAAGGAATTTATAATATTAACCTATTCAAATTAAATGTTAATAATATAGGGTTAACGTAAAAGGAATAACAACTATACTTTGAAATAAAAATGAAATAATGCGTATGTAATTTATTTTTTTCGAAAATTTAAAGATTTACTACCTATTTCAAAAACTGTATGTGGAGTGGTTCATTTAAAATTCTACACTCGTCTTTTCAGTAGATACGCAATAAACTATGTAAGCCATCATACTTTTTTCACGCGATAATTTATTATTGTTTCTAAATTGAAAATTACTATAGAACAATATGTCTAGTGTTATTATTATTATTTTTTTTTTTTTTTTTGAAACATATGTTCTTTTCAGTTTAACCTAATTGGTTTTTTAATGTTATATGGAAATAATATGAATACATAAAAGAAATCTGTAGCTGCTAATGAAATTCACATCTATTCAATTTTTCTTCACAGTTTTTTCAATTATTAAGAAAACTGCAAAGTAAATCAAATAATTATCTCTTCCGTGAGCTAAAAATATAAAATATACACAGAAAACTTCTCTAAAAAGTTTTTGATCGGTGCAAAATTTCTGGTACAAAATAATCTAAAACTACAACTCGAAAATAGCATTATAACTTAGTAAATAATTTTGAATAGCTTGCAAATTTAAAATACATTAAAGAAAATATGTACAGAGTTTCTCTTCATCAAGTACCAGCAAATTTCCAGTATGTCCAGAATGTCCCAGTAAATATTTTTTCTAAAATACAATAAACCCGAATTTCGGAAATAATGTTTGTGTTCCGGGACTTATATAATATATAAGTTGTTTTTTTAAAAAATATAAGATAACCAATTTTTATACCTGAATTTTATTATTTCGTCTGTACACAATTGTACAGATATGTACAGTTATTATTGTTATTAATTTCAATGGACAGTATGAAATCAGTTGGATTTTAGTCCATTATCTATTATTCAAATGCTGCAGTTCTTCGTCAATATTATTAAATTACTTTTACTCTGAATAATTTAACAAAGTTAAATTGAAACAATCAATTGTTCGAGTAAATTTAGAGAAATTTAAAATATCTACTCCGATTTCATTTAATTATCCATCCGTTTTACCGTGAAATGTCATAAATAAATATAAATGACACAATATTTAAAAAAAAAAAATTGCATTTTAACTTGCAGAAAAAATAAATAAATTAACGAAGGTATTATTAAGGTTTATAAAATTACCTACGAAGGTTCATTGATTATTTTATAGTTAAAAAAAAAATTTCCGGTTTCCGACCATCAAATATAATATTTTTCTAAAAGCTCATTTTATCTAATAGATAAATTAAGGACATCGTTTTTTTTTTCATTTTTCTTAACAATGGAAAAAAAACTATTAGATAAAGGTTATTTTTAATTTTGCTTTTTTTGCTTTTTAATAAAAAATAATCATAAATTCTTCAAACCTCTACCGAATATTCGTCATCACTTTTAAGACTCGGCGATTTTCAAGTTATTTATAGCCAACTGAATTTGTCACGTTTTTCATTTTTATTGGTTTTATAAAAATAAAAATAACAAGCTCATCAAAAATTCTTGAAAACATAGATACAAGATTAACCACGACTCTGACACCTAACGGCAAAAAAATTAAGTTAACGTTTATATGATAATTGTGAAAATGACGAAATTTCAAAACATTAAACATCTATAAACGAACTTCGCACAGAACCCTTTTTCATTAGCGTCATCATAATCGTATGTAACACTAATTTATCGTAACGTTAATAATATAATAAATTACTATACGAGTATATAATATAATATCCTATCCTTCCAACTATTTCCACTTACAACAATGGCACAACAATCAGCAGTATCAGTTCGTTTTCTCTTTTTCATATTGACGGCTGGTTTTTCTGAATTTTTATTTGTTTACAGCGTATACTGTTTAATTGAAAATATATTTTAGTTTTTGTTGTGTTTGTTGCTGATATTTATTATAAAAAAATGCAAGTATGTTTATATGAAATTAGTTTATACGTTTTTTTTTTTTTTTTTTTTTTTTTTTTATTTCTTTATTTCGGATTTCAAAATGTCCACTGTCATTTATTAACAAAATGAAGTTGTCAGAACTGGTGAATTTTTTTAAAATCGTGCAGAATACAATCGCTTTCAAATTTATTATGACAATTCTGCACCACACCGTTTAACAAACCTTCCAAAAAATTACTTAACCAAATCTCAAAAACGGCACTATCCCGTCGTTCAAAGTAATCACATGCGTGTGAAATAATATGTAATCGTATGTAGTGGGCATTTTTTATATCTTTTAGATTCCGAGTGTAGCGAGGGAACAATTTGTTTTACAATTGCTCCGATATATAAGTGGAGCACCTTTCCCGAAAGCTCAAGTTCTCTGGATGGTACATTAAATCGGTCATTTTTTGATTTTCGACGCCATTTTTTAAATGAAAGCACATGAGTGGGAAAATGTATAATTTCACGATTTCATTATTTTATAAAAACACGGACGTTTTCCACTAGAAAAAAAGATTCGATTGAAAAATCACAAAATAACTTTTTCATCGCCTTTTTGATTTTATTTTTTACGATATTATTGCCAAAACTATTAATCAACTTTTGAACTTTTAAAAAATTTTAATTTTTTGGGAGTTTTTTAGCTGTATTTCGGTTATAAATATACGTAGAGACTTGAAACTTAGTATTAATATTTAAATTGGACGTGGTAAAATTTCCGAAATGATCGGACAACTTTTTTTTTTTTTTTAATAAGCGTTTTGAAATTAAATTTAAACAAAAATCGCTAAAAAAAAATTACGGCACTTCAAATTATGTATTACCGTACTGCGTTCGGAATCGTCTTTCGTCAGCAATGATTTATCGTTGCTTATAGTTATAAATGAAATAACCTTTTGTGTCCTACCTTCCAAACTTGTCACCTATAACAGTGCCCACTCCCAACACCAGGATCAGCTTTTTTTTTTTTTTAGTTAATTTAATTTGTTTGTCAGTTTTTTTTTTACGTATTATTTTTTTATCGGTACAAAAGGACACGATAATATACCATTATTTAAATAGTAAAAATATATTATAAGACAGTATATGATGAACTTTTTTTCGCTAAACTATTAGGTACCAGTTTTAGTCTGGTCTTTACGTACATACACATCAACGCGCGTGTACGAATATAATTTTGTGTTTTGAAGAACAACAAATACAATATATTTTGAAATTATTTTGTGACATATTTTCCCATAGTCATTTTCTATTTACCTTTGTGTGTACAAAGGTCAAATACATATATATAGATATATATATTTGTTTTATATTTTTCATTCCGTATTGACTTGGTCGGAAAATAAGCTAGTATATCATTGAGTTTATTGTGTTTTAAAAAATTAAATAAACTGCAAAATATAAATTCGCGGACAATTAAATAAAAAAATAATAATAAAAATGTTGATTTACGCCACGACCCGCACAAATAATAATAACAAACCGCTATTTTCAGTCTCAAACTACAGAGTACGCCAAGCTTTTTACGTGTTGACAAAACAAAGCCCCGTAAATAACCGAAATAATATTAAACACGAACGAAAAAATTATATTGACATTTTAAAGGCGTTAAAACCGCGGTATTGTATTTTCGGGGAAAAATATTTACAGTTTTAGTTAAAATAATAAACTCGCCACAATATTATACTGCACGAAAAAAAATAAATTAGTTACAGAATATCTAAAAATCGTTTTAATTTTTACAGTTATTATCTTACGTAACAATAAGATTCAATTTTTCACCGCACAGTACAATACGGTACAGTCGCAAGTGCCATAGCACAATCAGTTTAAAAGTATAGAGACAACTTTGTGCTGTTAGTTTTAGTATCAGAGGGAGTTGACTATTATTATCAAACTTAAGAATGTATAAGAATGTATTATCTGTGGAAACACGTCGATTTTCTTCACGGCACGTGAATTTTCAACCGAGATACGAATATGCGAAATATCATAATTTAAAAATGCTTATATCTCACTTGAATATAAAAGAATTTTGAAAAAAAAACAGACGTATGGTTAAGCATCGTATTCTCACGTTTAAGTTAAAGAATAGGTCGATTCGCTATAATATTAAAACTTACAACACAAAACAGTTCCGCAGTAAAATTCAAGCGTTTTCTTAAGAAAATGTCAGTCGAACGTTTTTGAACACTGGACTTGAAAATATCGGAAAATTATTGTTATCCCGAGCAAGATTTAGTTTAGTGTAAAACTGATAAATTAAAGAATATGACTTTATTCACATAGGGCCTGGCATCATATTATTATCCATTTTATTAAATAAAAATTAATTAAAATTACGGCTTTTGTTAGCTGTAAAAAAGGCCATTTTTTAATTTCGAATATCTATCATCTCGCGCGTTTAATTTAAAATCTGATGTCATACAACCCTAGATAACGGTGTCGGTTTTAATTTCTGTTTTACAATAAAACGTTTTTAAATCATTTTGGAAGGCAGCTTTTCCGTTTGTTCATGAACATGTTTTTGAATAAATTTCATAACACAATACACATTGTTTTGTGATGAAGACCTGGGGATAGTTTAAATATTTATATGAACGCCAATTTTTCAGTTCATAATTTTTAAGTTTTGTCTGGAATTGCTTTAAAATTACTTGTACAAATCCCACAAATATTTTTAGTGTGATGTCATAATATTATATCTATATATATATTTTGATTATTATAATTATATTAAAGTGACAATAATTTTCTTTATGAAATATGTTTGCTTTATTTTTTTAATTTCAATATTGGAAGAGTAAATAATATTAAAATGGATACGACAATTAAACCGAGCAGACGGTCTTTTTTAATAAAACTATTGTTGCGTCGTTATTCTCGGTGAGTTTTCGCGGTACATTATACGACTGAAATAAACATATCTATTATTATTATCGTTATTTTATGTAACCACTTGGCCATTTCTATTACTCGACCGTTTTTAAACTTTTTGCTAAAAGTGAAATTTAATCCACATAAATCTTTTTATACTAGTGACATTTTTATGATATTTATCGTTTTTCGGTTATTTGCTTATTTTTTTTTTTTTTATGAGCTTATACAAGTTTTATATCTTTTGATATATATATATAATGTATTTATATATGTAATGTATTTATACAACACTTTTGTACACTTGAGAAAAAAAAAGTATACTTAAGTGTAAAATTTAAAATTCTACAAAAGTTTATACCTACGTATAATAGGCACATTGATTGTGATACTGTAAAACTACACTGCAACAAGAATAATTTTCATAACTGATTGTTAAAATATTCCAAGTCATATTCCAAGCATACATTAACATTTTATATCAACAATGAAGACGACGTCACTTCAAAATATTATTATGTTTGAACAGAACCTGCAGTGTTCGTATCCTATGCAAGCATTCCGATATTTTGTATAATAATATTATTGTTGCGTAGACACGCGTGCGGATACACGAATTACTCAAACATAAATAATTTTATAATTAAGTAAAATCCTTATGCACACCGGGTAAGTTTACGAATTGGTGAACGCTCATATTATTTACTTTAATAATAATTCTGTTTTTGCGTATGTTTGGTAAAATCCGGTTAATCTGACGGTTGTTCCTGACACGCGTCCCGCTCGCGATAATAATTATTCATTTTTCAATGAAACTTTATAGTATACCTACTACGACCGTACATGCTCACAAGTAATATGCGCAGTATAATATTGTCCGGACTAAATATTTTAGTTAAAACTAACATTTCGAGTCGGATAAGAACGCGAATTATTATTATATGTGTACGTATTATAATATACATCGTGTCCCGAAAGTCCCGTATCAAGGGTGATTAAGTTTTTGATTTCGTGAGAATATATAATAGTTATGTTAGCCGAACGTGGAATCGCATAGCTTAAATTAATCTCGATGGGATCGCGGATTTTTTTCAAATCAAAATCTCAATATCCTTTAACTCGGTCGATTTCCACTCGATTTTATAACATATATATATATATATATATTTTTTTTTTTCTTTTAAACTGTTATAAAAAAAATTTCAAAAAAACGACCATCTTAAAAATTTAAAATACTATAATTTGTATACAACACATTTGAAACTCGTGTCGTCCAACAGGAGTTATCATACAAATTAATTTAAACAGAACCGCAATCAAAATATATATTTATTTGCCATGGAGCTATTATAAAAGTATTAAAGGACTTTCGACACACGCTGTATATTATATATTATGTGTTTCGTGTACAATAAGTTTCATTCGAATGATAATACGAAATATTTCTGCCGGATAGGGTTAGATTGGAAACGAATGAGTATATTTTCTTCGGGAACATCAAGTGTATCAAAATACGAATTTTGAGTCTATTTTCAGAATTGCAATCACCACGGAGCGCACTGATGTCTAGGTTTTCTTAAACAAATACACCGCAATTCATAACACTCTCAATCGAATAGTACTTTTTTTTGATGCATTACAATAACTCTGTTCGATCTCTACAATTGTCTGAATCTAAAGTTTATTTTTCGAAAAATATTAAAGTTGCATGATTTTAAAAGTGAAGAAATTTCACGAAAATTTTACGGGGGGGGGCAAATTATAATCAAATAGAATTATTTATAATTATTTATTATATTAAGTTTTATATATATTTGAAAAATCGAGAAAAAAATATACATATTTCATATACGTAAGATGACTGTGATAGTATAAACATGCCTTTTTAAGACATAAAATAACCATTAGTCAGGGCAACGTGAGAATACAATTTTTGAAATTGACCCAAAATATCATGTTATTTCGAAACAGTCTTTCTAAAAAAAAACCCATTTAAATCCAAGTTCTCCATTTGGCTGAAATATTAGGTACCATTTGAGTGAAACACGCAGTAGGTATATATCATAATATTTATACCAACTCACTATTTCCATAAAAAATTAAACTATACCTAAATTGTTGACAGTTTATTAATAATATTTTTTTGTATTAAAAAAAAAAACCGTTTGTTATAGTCGTAAAATCGACAAAAAAAAAGTGTGGTTAATTAAATCGTATACAAAAATAAAAAAAAAAACCGAAATTATTGATAAATGGAGAGTTAATTGCACATAAAAAAAAATAATAAAATAAAAAATATTATCGACGTTTACATTAGTCGTTTACGTTCACTCTGGTTATTTCTTTTTAATTTTTTCGCTCTCTATCGGCTATATAAAATACAGTAAATTAATCATTGGGGGTGGGGGATTTATCGTCATCGTCGTTTAGATATTTTCTAAAGGAATTGATTTTTTTTTTTTTTATGAATCCGTGTCTAATGGACTGCGAAATTGATAAATATAATATAAAATTACGGTCTTTATTTGGTTTGTCTCATTTCGCTAAGATATTCTCGCGGTATTTTTGTGACTATATCGTCAACAGTCAATACGCCGTTTAGACGTAGTCCACATCTGACAACGATACCTCTTTTATAAAGCAGGACGTAATACTATAAAAATTATTAAATATTATCGGATCGAATCATTTTCACTAACCACCGAAAGAGGCAATTTTTCAGAAAAGTGTGGAGCCGAATTTCGA